ATGAGAAAGCACCCTCCCACACACAATGGGGAATGATCATGCTGCAATCCCTTCTTTTCCATCTCTCCTTTCTTTCAGGATTTTGAGCACACGTGCACATGCTCCTGGTGTGTTTTTCAAGCCTTGAGGTTCGTGACTCAATAGTGCAGATAGCCATGTGGGAGCCAGCTAATGCTACCTCCAGGCCATGGGCTGGCTCATGTTTTTCCTTATTTAATAGCAACATACAGTGATCATCTTTTGCTGTCTCATAATTTTACATATCATAAGGAGGCCAGCTTTCTTGTAGCAGAAAGGATTTTATCTGCTTGTTAGTGGAAATACATAGCATAAAATAGTTCTTGGTTGTGTTTACTTATTTCTCCTAATGAGAATTTCATACTCACACACATAAACACACACACACACATACACACACACACAAAATTGACCCTTGGTTAGGAGTGCCAATCCCTCATGCAGTCTAAAATCTGTGTATAACTATGACTTTCCAAGAATTGAACTATAATCACTGACTGTTAACTGGAAGTCTTCCTGATAACAATAAACAGTTGATTAATACATATTGTGTGTATTATACATATTATATACTTTATTCTTACAATAAAGTAAGCTAGAGTAAAGAAAAGATTATTAAGAAAACCATATAGGAAAAAATAAACACATTTATAGTATTTATTGAAATGATCCACATTTGAGGGCCAGAAGGTAATATACTGGTTAAGGCGCTGGATTCTACATGGCCAACTCAGTGGTTTGAGTTCTGGATCCAATAGTTTGAAAATTACACCAGGCACATGTACCAGTGTGGCCAAAATGCCAAGAGGAGATTAGAGGAAGAGGAGAAGTGATTGTGGCCTGGGCATCCCTTTTGGGGGGTGATTTCTCACTTTCCCTTCCTTTCTCCCTCCCTCTCTCTCTTTCTTTCTTTTTCTCTCTCTGTCTCTGGCAAGCACACATGCCCTATAGCAAATTTTTTAAATTCATATTAAGTGGGCCCACGCTGCATAAATCTTTAAGATAAGACAAATCTCCAACTGGGCTGGTGTGAGGTATATTTATGTTGGATAAATTCACTTTATAAGCTAAGCGATATATAGTGATTAAATGTATAAAATAAATATTTTTTTCTTTA